CTCTGGCCTGAAACAAAGAATCTAATCAAAGTATTAGAATGATTGACTGGTAGGGCTGAGTCAAGACTTACTTATTTCATATTACATTTGAAAATCTGTTAGAAAATAAATGGTGGAAAATAATTTAGATGAATGAAGCTGAAATTATGTGGTTGATCACTCGATTAAAAATCTTCTTACAATTTAAAAATATATACGCCATTAGTTTATAGGGTATGAGACTATGAATCCCAATAGGATGATATAAGATTTTTCCCTATTCATCTTTCTTAACCTTTCACTCTTGGATGAAAAATTAAGAAATCCATTTATTAAACATTTACTACATTACCATGAAGATTTGAAGGCAGTTTCAGAAACAAGGTCACATTGGGCATGAGCTTAAAGGCACAGACATGGTAATCAAGCAGCAAAAAGACAAACGGCTAAGCCAGGGAAAGGAATATACTGATAATGCACAGGGATTTGGAAAATCACAGCAAATTTGAAAGACGGTAGGTGATTCACAAATGCCACAGGCTAAGGTCACTAAAGAAGAGTAGTTAGTGACAAAGGGGGACAAAGAGGAAGCAGATGGATCATGAAGAACCTGTGAATACAAACTCTCTGTATATTATCTGTTAAATATTTCATCTTGAAAGAAAAAAGACCAGGAGGGGCCAATCTTTTACTGTATACATAAGAGAAAGGCTATTGTAGATTTTTGTATTACTGATCAATATATTGTGCTTAAAAATAAATAAAAATTATACTGAACACTGAGTATATTTTATTTTATTTATGGAATCACCATGAGATACAGTTACAAAACTTTTATGTTTGAGTTATGGTGTATTTTTAATACATCTCTCAGCAAAACAAGTTTTTGGTGAATAACAATAATAAACAAGTATTGATTCCTAGTGTTTCTTAGATTGTGTCTCCTTAGGTAAAATCAACAGATAAACTGACAATCATTAAAGTTCTAATCTTTTGAATGGGCTGCAAGTGTCAAAAACCAGTGAGAATTTATCCCTGTGTCTGTAATATTTGGTGACCAAACCTGAAGAAAAGTAGATAGTTCCAGTTCCCAAGCTCATTGAGGAGCAAAGACAAAAGGCTGGGGATCAAGGTTTGAGTTTTATAGGCACCCAGCTATGTTTTTATTTATTATTGAATCACCATGAGCTATAGTTACAAAATGTTTATGTTTGAATGAACATACATTAATGTTCATACAATGATCAAACACGCATCTCTCCACCAGTGTACATTTTCCACCAAAAATGTCCCCAGCATTCCTCCACCCCCCTTCCACCCATCCCCCTGCCTCTATGGCAGATAATTTCCCTCTTACTCTCTCTCTGCTTATGGCTATTATAGTTTTCAATACACATAGTGAGAGGTCATCATCTCATCAGAAAATAAGGCAATGGAATGAACAGAAAATTCCTCAAAGAAGAAATTCAAATGTCCAAGAGGCACATGAAAAAATACTCTTCATCACTAATCATCAGGGATATGTAAATAAAAACAACAATGAGATATCATCTCACACCACAGAGACTGGCACACATCCAAAGCAACTGGTGTTGGTGTGGATGTGAGGAGAAAGGGACTCTCCTTCATTGTTGGTGGGAATGCCGACTGGTCTAGCCTTTTTGGAAAACAATATGGACATTTCTCAAAAATCTAGAAATTTGGCTCCCATTTGATCCAGCAATACCACTTCTGGGAATATATTCCAAGAGTGCAAAAAAGCACAGTAGAAATGACATCTGCACCTGTATGTTTATTGCAGCACTGTTCACAATAGCCAGAATTGGGAAAAAACCTGAGTGCCTGAGAACAGAAGACTGGTTAAAGAAATTTTGGTACATCAACACAATGGAATACTATGAAGCTGCTAGGAAAGATGAAGTCATGAAAATTGCTTATATATGGATAGTCATGGAGAGTACCATGCTAAGTGAAATGAGTCAGAAGGAGAGGGACAAACATAGAATGACTGCACTTATTTGTGGAATATAAAATATCATCAAATGAGACTAACACCCACGAACAGTTGAAACAAAGGAGCAGGATGGCTGCCCTTTGTTGGAAGCCTGCATCATGAGCTGGAAGAGAAGGCATCTGGGATAGAGTGGGGATCACTAAGTTAATGATGGTTGGAGAGATTGCTCAGGATGGGAGATGTCTTCTGAAAGTAGACAAAATGCCCACTTATTTTTGTTTATTTGTTGTTGTTTTCAAGGATCAACCTGGCAGTGCAAAGGGGACATCCAAGGCCAGGGATAGAATCCATAAGCTCTAGTAATTGAGTCATTGCACCAACCCATGAAGCCAGTTACAATAAATAGCTCAAACAAAAATGATATTCCACATCTGACCACTTCTCCTTTAACAGGATTCAGGATGGGCCTGAAAGCACATCCAGGTCACACTTTTATAGAACCATGGACACAGTAACCAAAGGAGAGCAGAATGAACAGGAACCAAAATTGGTAGTGTGACTCCTTACATACTGATAACAACCTGATCAAGATATTTTGAGATAATACAACTTACAAGATAATTAACATTTATACTTTACACACAATACATTACTACTGCATTCCACCAACTGTCAAAGTGCCAATACATTTCCACCATTGCTCCTGATACCCATGAAAACTACTCAATTTGATAGAAACATACCAGGTGATAAGGGATGGTTTTTTTTTTTTTCATTAGTCATCACCACTCAAATTCCTCTAGTTAATTCTGAGGAACCATCTGCATCAGCGTGCTAACGAGCCTGGACATGGTTCTCCAGGCAATATGAAGCCATTGGAGTTGTTAAGCAGGGGAGTTATAGAACCATATTTGTAATTGAGAAAGGCAGCTCTGGCAGAAGTAGAGATTGGAGAAAGCAGCCTCTGTAAAGAAACAGATCATTTTGAGGCCTCTGCAGTCATCTGATTGATGATAAAGCTCTGGCCTGCAGCAATGGCTATGAACACACTGGGTGAAGAAAATGGGGAACACAGGGAAGGAAAAATTAGAAAAAACTGAAGAGGATTCCATGTTTATAGAGAAAAGAGCTGGAAGGGAACATTTAGCATCCCAGACTGCAGGTTAGCTCATCTTCTCCCCTCACAGGCAGGTAATAGGGGAAATGGGATCTGCGAGCAAAGAAGTGAAGAGTTTTCAGAATTTCCATTCACAAAGTAAATCCCAGGAAAATTATTCAGATTCATGTTATGAATATCATATAAGAGACACCAGAGAAAATGGGTGTCCTGAATCAAGAACCTTATAAAAGGTTCAGATCCTGGATTTGCCACGAACAGCATAGTTTCTGGTTTGGTGTGAGCTACATAACCAATTTGCTTGTTACCTCATCCCTTAAATGAAAGGGATAACTGAACCCCACAAAGTATTAAGATGCTTAAATCAATTCTTACAAGTTAAAGATTTAGGAGACCCAAGACTGCCTCATATGCACTGATGTGTAGACTTCCTAGTAAATGCTATTTTCTGTCTCTATGTCAGCCAAAATTAATGCTGAAGAAATAGGTCTACTCTCAAAGAAGAGAAACCTCAGCTTACATTTTTTTTCTTTCATCCAACATTATATTACTCAGATGGTTTGACAAGTGAAATTTAAGAAGCAGAACAAAACAAACTTTTTCCTGAGAAAGTTTTTTCTGAGAAAATTCAAAAGATGAAGGTGAAATTATCAGGTAGCAGATACTCTGAGGTTTAGTATTTTAAAGACCACAGTGCTGGCTTATAAATAGAATATTAAAGCAAGCAAGAGCAATTTTCTCTTTTCGTCTTCTGTTATTGCCTAATTTTCCTCCCATACTATTTGCATAATGGATAAAAAGGCATCCATTATGCAAATGAATGATAGGGCTGTGAGGTTGCCTAAGCCACAAACCTCTCTCCCAAGAAAGGAAGCTGCCACAAAGCCCTCTACTATACTATTCTAGTAGACAACTTCACCCACTTGCTTTCTAGATGATTGAGGAAATTCATGAAGAACACGGATCATTAATTTTCAGTTGTTTTATTTTAAAAGAATCACTACAAAATCTTTTCAGAAAAGTAATATGGAAATGATTAATATTCAGCATTATGATTTGAAAAATAAATATTTACTATGTATTTGATTTCTAATCTGGGGGTGTTGTGCAATGTAACACACTTCTACAGTTTTAAACATATGCTTTATTTTAAAGGAAAAAGATTCCCTTTGCAAAATAGAGAAGGTTTCTGTTTGAGCTAGAGAATTAATCTAAAAAAAATATGCTTAGAGCAGTCTCTAGATGTCTGATTACACCGGACATGAAAAGAATTAGAATCACAAAAATACTCATTTTCAAAGCTTCATATTGTCAAACTGATCTAAGTTAGTCTCTCAGATATAAACCAAAAATGGACACATCATTTCTACTGGAACTATAAATTCACTGGAATATTAGGTAAATATTTATTTTCATACCAACATCTCAAAACAAACATAACAAAAAAGCATTTGAGCAAAATCACAGAATAAGTTGCTCTCATCTAAACATATTAGTAAAATATAAATATAATTAACGTAAAAACATTTCCCCCAAATATTTAGATATGTAGTTTGGGGAGAAAATAAAGATTGTTCAAACAGAAAGTGACTTTTATTTCTAGTCTGCAAACCTTGATAACACTTAACTTTCTCCATATTACTTTCTGCATTCTCCTGAAAATATGATCCTCCTAGGCTATAGACGTGTATCTCACCATTTAATAGTCTAACCCAACCCTTGCCCTAAAATGTGTCAAAAGACTCCAACTATGATTCACCTGCTATAAAGCAATCATAGCAATCAGTTGTCTAAATATCATCAGCAACAAAGAGCTACATAAAAAATAATTAAAAGCCAAAAGATAAATCAGATTATTTGCAAAGAAAGATATTAACGGAATCACTAATAAAGTAGGTGCAACTCATAGTCAGAAAGATGATGTAGAAATATCACTAAAAATACACTTACCTAATTTCAGAGCAGAAGGGGTTACTTCAATTTCTCCACCAATCGGTTTAAATGCAGCCAGTTGGGCAGCCACTTCTGTCTCAAAAGCATCTGGGCTTTGCCGACCTGCAGGGTTTCCACTGGGGCTCTCAATCTTGTGGAGTGGTTCTTGTTCTTCAAACACAGCAATCAGCTACAAACAATTCCAACAACACTAATTACTTTGTAGGGCATGCATATCACACAGACTCTGTAACTGCTGGCCATCTTTATTTGGTTTTAAATATAATGACCTTTTAAATCTTGAAACTTAATGCTACTATTCCACAACTATTCATTCAATATTATGATTAAAAGCACCAGGACTGGCAAAAATATTTTACTTATTGGATTAATTTTAAAATAAGAGGATAGCTTTTGGTTATCTCTCTTGAAGGGATGAAATGGCTACCTCTTTCCTCTCACAACCTTTACTAACATGTCCAAAAGAAGTCCTTCTTTCAACGATTCTCCCCCCCCCCCAAAAAATAAAAGAAAATGCAAAGTTACATAGGGAGTTGTATGGTAGAAGAAGATATTCCAGTCACAGAGAACTAAAGGCTACAAATCTTATAATTATTTCTGTCCATTTACATGTAATCACCATAACTAAATAGATGCATTTGTAAACAATTTCTGTTTATATCACACACAGATACTAGCTTTTCATGAAATCCTTGAATTGTGTTCTTTTTCTTCATGATTGATTATGTTGGCTGATGTTAGTCTAATGTAGGCTCAATCAAATAAGACAAAATGTCACTTTCAGCCTAAGTATTCTTATCATGATCTTAATGTTATTTGAGAACTATGCTTCATGCTTTTGATTTAAAAGAAAAACTTGTATAAATTTCCAAGTAAATTTTCATATAATAAGAACAAATATTCATGCATTTGTGAGGCATACACACAGTTGTAAAAACACTATCACATAAAAAGCAATGGCAGTCCAACCAGGACTGCATTTTTATTCGGCAGAATGCACCATCATCACTGAGGAATTTCAAAAGTTTCTCCTCTGCTGATGTGTAGAAGTTCGAAAGTCAGTTCAGCCAGCCCTCGAAGATGCTATCATCCCATTAAGGTATAGTGTGTGCCAATATAAAAATTACTAAAAAATCCTTAGGCATTTTTCATTCATTAAATAAAATTTACTTATGCATCAAACATTTATTTAGAAAAGGCACTCAAAGCCCATCCATAGGGGAACCTTGCTGGCAATGGTATTAACAAGTACAGGGATAACCAATCAAAACACCATAAACTCCAAGTTCAGTCTTTCAAAAGAAATGGATACAATTAGGACATGTAAATTGGTTATTCAAAAAATAATTTTCATAATTGACTACTCATTTCCAGTATGGAAACGGCCTTAATTGGAAAGTCCAACATTCTGCTCACCACAGGAAAGAAATGCTCCTCCCAAGGCATTATTTTTAATTCTTGAAATTGAGCATACATTTTCCATTTTTAATTGGCAGCACTGAAGAACTGATTTGAGATAAGACTCAAGTGGATTAATAATGAAAGATTATTCTAGTATAAAATAATCAGTGAAACTATATCTTCCTAATTATCTGATCAAAATAAATAATTTAACGCTTCAAATCCTGAAAAGAAAAATACCAATTTTTAAAATGTGAAATATAATTTTCATCACTATTTCTGTGACACAATTATAAGCAATTCACATAGTAGTAAATTCTAACACATATTAGTAAAGTTTTCCTTAAATGTATCAATCAGTTAGCTATATTGACCTATTATACTTGAAAAAAGAACGATTTTGTGTAAGGTAAGAATAATCTCTTACTTTTCCCTCTTATACTTCCTTAAATTTTAGTAATCCTAAATACTTTGAGTATTGGGGAAAGGAAGAAACAATAAAGCAGCATTCAGAAGTAAAATTTAAAATTAAACCTGGTAAGTTATTAACTTTGACCATGAGTGTGGAAAGGTCGGACTACAGCTAAATCTTACGAAGACAATGTTTATGAGAAACAGCCTCATTCCTGATGCTCCATTTGCTCTCAATGGAACTACGATCTCCGAATGCAACAGTTGTATAAGCCTAGGTCGAGAAATCAACCTGGCACCTGTGTTACGCAGGAGGAAGAGAGCAGCTTGGAATGCCTTCAAGAGCGTTGAAGAAATAACTAAGAGGACAAAGAACCTCCAACTACAAGCACATCTCTTCGATTCCACTGTTCTTCCTGCATTAACATATGCCTGAGAGACCTGGGCCCTAGGAACACAGGATGAGAACGCTATTTGGGTCTCTCAAAGAGGAATCGAAAGAGCTATGCTTGGAATATCACGATTCACTCAAATGAGAGATAGAATCTGGAGTTCTGATCTCCGTCAATGCTCAAGAATCAGGGATGCTGTCTCATTTGCCAAGGCATCAAAAATCAGATGGGCTGGACACGTAATGAGGTTTACAGACAACCGCTGGACTAGAGCCATTACTGACTGGATTCCAAGGGATGTCAAAAGATCGCGTGGATGCCCACCTACAAGATGGTCAGACTTCTTCGTCAAGACCCTGAATGATAGGTTTGAGGCTCTGCATGTTCCTAGAACGAACAGATGCCATTGTGCTATGCTAGCACGCAACAGGGATGAATGGAGACGTTACTGGCACCTGTTCGAGTAAATCGATGAATAACGGGGGATCAAGTGATCAAGTGATCAAGTTATTTACTATGGCTATTACATAACCTCTCCTTTATATACTCATATTATAATGTCAGTGTTATACTTTTATCAAGTGGTAGATCAAAATTGCAAATATGTGCCAAGTAGCACCAGAAAAATAAAGTAAAAATGAAATACAGTCTTTTAAATTTCCAGCCCAGGGTTTCAGACAACAAAGTTAACTATTTTCCAAAATGAAAACCATGCAAATAGCAGCTATACAGTGGAGTATTTTAGTTTTCCCATAGAGATATTATGCCACAAAGAATGTGAACTCCAAGGATGGGAGAGATAGCATGGGGTTAAAGCATTTGCTTTTTGTCCTGCTCACCCTGGTTTGATCTGTACTGAGTATGGTCCCCAAGTACTGCCAGGATTCACTCCTCAGCACAGAGACAGAATTAACCTCTGAGTACTACCAAGCATGCCCAAAATATGGCTCTCCCACTCAACCCACCCCAAATGTGAAATTCTACTCTGGAATTACTGGCAATATATCACTCTTCTGAAAGATACCACTGATTATTGATAATAGGAGAATACCCAAATTTCACAATTTTTATTGGTTAGTTACCTAATTTGATTCCCAATACCAGGACTGACAAAAATTTCCTCTGCAGGTATTCTTCTAGATGAATGAATGAAGGAAAAGCCTTACTAGTAGAAAAAAGAGGTTCAATACCTGAGTCTAGGATGCCAGAATAAAGTGTACTGCACCACAAATGCTAGCTAATAAGAGACATTATTCATCTGTTTTTTATCTCCACATTTACTATATACACAGACACACGGACTTAGGCACAGCCCTGATAATTAACTAAATCCTAGGTTGCTCTGCTTCTGTATATATTACCTGATTCACCAGAACATCTATATTACTGGAAGATAATGTTTCAGAGATATAGTAATTAGCATAAACCATGTGTCATTTAGACATCTCTATTTCTTCTTTGAAGAAGTTTCTGTTCGTTTTTCTCCTCATTTTTTTGATGGGGTTGGATTTTTTTCCTGTAAAGTTCTACCAGTGCCTTATAGATCTTGAATATGAACCCTTTATGAGAATTGGATATATAGTTTTTCCTATTCCGTGAGCTGTATTTGTATCTTGGTCACTGTTTCTTTTGAGGTGCAAAAGCTTCTTAGTTTAATGTAGTCCCATTTGTTTACTTTTGCTTCCACTTGCTTGGTCAGTGGTGTTTCATCTTTGAAGATGCCTTTAGCTTCAATGTCATAGAGGGTTCTTCCCACTTTTTTCTCCATGTTCCTTATAAATTCAGATCTGATATTGAGGTCTTAATATATTTTGATCTGATCTGGCATTAGAAAGAAGTCTGAGTTTATTTTTTTTAATTGTCCATGTAGCTGCCCAGTTTTCCCAGAATCACTTATTGAAGAGGCTTTTCTTGCTCCATGTTATATTTCTTGATCCTTTATCAAGATTAGGTGATGAAATATTTGAGGTTGGTGTCAGAATATTCAACTCTGTTCCACTGATCTGAAGATCTGTCTATTCCAATACTGCGGTGTTTTAATTACTACCACTTTGCACTACAGTTTGAAGTTGGGGAAGGTGGTAAAGGTAAAGGTAAAGGCCCTCCCGTTGATCGTCGATTTGCTTGAGCGGGCCCAGTAACGTCTCCATTGGAGACTTTGTTGTTACTGTGTCTGGCATATCGAATACTCTCGGTAGCTTGCCGGGCTCTCCGAGAGGGGCGGAGGAATCGAACTCGGGTCGGCCATGTTGGCCACTTGTAAGGCGAACGCCCTACCGCTGTGCTATCACTCCAGCCTCCCATTTTCTTTTTCCCAAGGATTGTTTTAGCTATTCATAGGGACTTATTGTTTCATATGAATTTCAGGAGTGCTTGATCTATTTATTTGAAAAATGTCATCATTATTCTTATAGAGACTGCATTGAATCTGTATAATTCTTTGGTGAATCTACCCATTTTAACAATATTAATCCTCCCCACAGAGACTAACACATATCAAAAAGAATAAGAATAATCAGTGTTGGTGGTAAAGTCAACTGGTCTAGCCTTTTTGGAAAGCAATATGGACATTCCACAAAAAGTTAAAAATTAAAATCCATATAACCCACCAACAACATTTCTGGGACAATACCTAAAGACCAAAAAAAAAAAACACTGCAAAAATCCATCTGCACTTTTGCACTTCTAAGTTCATTGCACCACTATTCACAATAGCCAGAATCTGGAAACAACCCAAATGCCTGAGAACAGAGGACTGGATGAAGAAAATATGGTACACCTACACAATGGAATAGTACACAGACAACAGGATATGCATACTTTCCTGATATGCAAAGTGAGCAATGGAAATAAATGATCTAGCATCTGACACCAGAAGGCAGGCTTGAATGGTGGTGGTAATATCCGAGCAAAATATAATGCCCAAACTGGAGAGAGAGTATCTAAGAAACTCTCTACCATAGAG